AACAACTTTAGCATTAAACACTGTGTTGATGAAGATTCAGAAGTGACAGAACCATACGGGTGAAAGGAAGAAGGCGTTCGGAGTTGAGTTATTTGTTAGAAAATGCCAGCTGACCGGTTACAGACCACTGGACAGGGAAGCAAAACTCTAATTTGCATCTTATTTAACTGGACATCCCCATCAGTAGTATCACAGTTACACAGGTACTATGTGAATGGAAGGTGGATGACAGTATCATATCAGCGCGAGTTGGCCACATCGTTGGTCAGCTGCTTGTGGCAGATTTGTATGGTCTTCAACTACTAGCCTAGTGGTCACATCTCTCAAGAAATTCGCGAGCTACACGTTGCACATTATTCCCAACAAGGATGAAACAACTTTACGGTTGTTTTCGACTTTATGGCTTAGAGTGACCCCAATTTCAGCGCGAAGTTTCGACTGAAACTGGTAAAAAGTTATTTTTCCCATTAACAGAGATTTTAACTTCCGCCAGTATATTGAAAGTTGTAAAGCTGGGATATAAAAAAGTGAATTCTTTAAGTTAGTGCGTATGGCACAAAGAAGCAGATTATCGATCTAGGGATGAAAGCCTAAAGGGAAAACAAAAATTAGTCACTCAAGGATTAGTGTGGGAACGATGGGAAGACTCGTTTCAAAACAGCACAATCGGTTGGGAAACTGGTGCGTGCAGTTACAGCAAGACTAACAAGCATGAAATCTAACAACACAAATCAGTAGCGCTTGACAGGAAGACATCAAGCCTGAATGCGATCAGCGTGGGTCAGAGGTCACATCGGAAGAAAATGGAGGCGCACAAACATAGGTCGAATCGATGGTACAGTCATTAGGCAAGGTAGCCTCCAGTAGGCTGGTTCAATTCGTTGCCATTTTCGTGCTCAGTCTCAGGACTTCGAGGACCAACATTTGAACTTTTGAGTTTCACCTGTTCCAGCAGACCACCTTTGGTATGTTTCAGTATCACATTCATTATTACCCTGTTAGCTCGTTTACCGTGAAATATCTGAGTTTTCTATGAATCTCATTCAAAGCAGCTTTTAATAAATCTATGTTCAATTTTGAATGAAGAGAACTCTTCAAACATGCTGCATGCTGGAAGGATGAGAAACGCCAGTAAGATCAGTTCAATATAAGCCTTGTGGTAATGTCCCACATGGTCTTGATTTGTGTGCAGCCAACAGCCGAAGACCAGGGAGCGAAGCAATACTCCTGCGAATTAAGTAGTACGGATATGTAATTTTCCCGACTTGCAGAAGAGCGGGAAACGTTAGATGACAGGAAACTACCGTTCTTTTATAGTTTGGCTGAACGTAAAAAATGTTTGTTGGCACATCAAGCAGAATGTCATCTGCTGGATAGTGGTGAAGATGGCAGAGAAAAAAGGAGACTATCTAGTTGAGACGGTTATCCCGGTTTATTCTCTAGGAAGAACCTCGGAGTACCGGCGTCATTGATCTTGAGAACGGAAAGGTTGCTGGGAAAGCCATGAAATTGTCTCCCCTAAATTAGGGACAATATCACACTCTGAACGGACAAGAAAGTTGATGGCTGGGAACGTTCGTGAGATCAACCTGGGAGAACCATGAAACCCAGTCTGCAGGACCTATGACTGAGTACTATATTGCGTTAAAGGTCGAGTATTTTCATGAAAGTAGAATCCACAGACGATGAGGAGACAGAATCATTTATCACTGGCCACTCAGGTTATCTTAGCAGCCAAGCAGACCACTAGAACCGGGTAGACTGTAATCACAGTGAAAGTGGAAATATGGTGTTTTTTCTGCTTAGGTGATTATTCATCCCATTAATAGTAGCAGACCTTGCCATCTGACAAACCTTCTAGTGTAATCACTTGGTCCGATCAAGTTTCTATAAGAAACACAACAAATTCAACTGCTGTCCTTCAAAATGAGTTCCTAGCGGATTGAATTGCTTGAAGCCAGGAGTTGATTCGTTCTGGCTTAATTGATGCCTGACTCTGTCGTTGCCACTCAAATCATTGTGTGCTTGTGATTGGTTTTGTCTCGTCTAGTGGAGTCTTTTGCACCGATTATGTTAGGCCGATTCTTGCTGGCGTCTGTGTGATTTGTGAATCAGTGGGAGGATTGTCCATCATTGATGTTTTGGTCTGCCCAACAGCCGTAATAGGAAAGGAATGAACACAACGCACCACGGACAAAACCAGTCAGTTCGGCGGTTGAGAGAATTCATCCGGTGTTGGACTGCGATACAGGCTGTTGCAGGCCGACATTTGTTCGTGAATAACTACACTACTGGTCTTGGCCCGTTTAACTTTAGTAGCCTTGTATGATAAGCGCTAAAGGTTTGAATGTTGGAAATTGTACAAATGTCTCATTATACACACTGAGGTGGACTAGACATTTGTGCGTAACTTTAGAGCGACATACGGTTTTCAACAAGAATCTGGATAGATTAACTTTAAGTGGTCACTATCAAGAGATCGTCTCTTAACAGGAATGCACAGTGGTCCTAATGCACAAATCCGACTTGGCTTGAGCAGGGTAGACGGTAGAAAGGTTTTTATCGCAGAATGAATATCACCCTTGGCAGCAAAGAGTCAAGAAGTGAGTAGATCTCACTGTTACCTAACTACAGCAATACATCTTAGTGATCAAGTTTGGTCGGAAGTGAACCAAGAACAGATTTACAGTGACTCACTGTGGTGGTGGGTAAGGGCGTCGTTGTCTCGGTGGTTGAAGTCTCAGCCTGACGAGCAAACCAGCGTCCGTTGAATCCTGTATCCATTTTCTGGGTATTATATGACACGCCGGACAGAGGCTTTGAGTCATTGTTCGACGAGTTTCCAGTATGTGTCCCACTATTCACTAAATTATTGATCTGAACCAATTGCGGCTTCTTATGCAGTTGGTTTTCGTTCACGCCAGCAAAATATGGTAATTGGATACCGTGCTGTTGAGCACGAAGCAGATTGATAAGATGTGTCAGGCTTGCAATCTCCTGCTTGGGAAGTGAGCTGTCTGCGTTGGCTTCAATCGATTCTTTTTGGTCTTGTTTTGTGATCATATTCCACGGGGCCCAATTTAGGTAGTGCCCATGAGGGTGTGGATGATGATACTTGGGTGGCGGACGTTTTAAAATCACGAGAGGTGGGTAATATGAAGGTGCTTTTGTTGTAGTGGTTGTAGTCGTGGAGGTGCTGGCGGGGGTTGATGTCTCGCATNGACCAGGTTGTTTGCAACATTCTGCGGACGAGCACTTAGTAATCGGGTCAATAGCAAGCGCAGTCTGTTACGTATCATCATGCGCTCTTCTGCCCATATGGAATAGAGATGTTGGTAGTAAAGCTGTGTGTAAGGATTGTCCCATGACTTATGAACTGCTCCAATCTGTTCCGCCCACGATACCGGTTTGACATCATTGACAGTCGCGTTGAGTGCTTTGGGTCCTTTCGCTTCCTGGTAACTCTCTGAAACTGGAATAATATATTTTTTTAGAATTGCTGTGCATACATTCATCCGGAGTAACCTAATTGCAGATTTAAATGGGTAAACGCACGCGTACAGAAACACCTGCGTTTTCATGTAAACAGTTTAACTAAAGGGGCAATCAACCTCTCAAGACCGAAAACCGTTGGCTCTGATCGATCGAACGCTCTCTTAAGGCAGGTATGGCCACAACTGGATTTCACTGATTCAAATATGCCTCTAAGGTAGTGCTCCAGGTCCATTTTGGAAATATGTAAACTGTATCTGCTCCTGAGGGTCTGTTTGCATCTCCCTCCAGGTCTTTGTCGACTGCACAGTGGTTATCTTGCCCTAGTGCGATTATCCTGACTAGTTCTTGTCAAAAAGAGAAGGCCTGAGGCGAATTCAACTCTTTTGGCATTTTCACGAGAAATTCTGGATCGTGTGGGAAGTTTGATCCCGAGTATTTAACAGAAAAAGAGACAATGCAATCACCACCATTCCGGTTATGTACACTGGATGTATGATTCCTGGTTAGAGTCTGGGCAAAAAAAATCAAACTTACGTCACAATATAATTTTCATGTGTGTTATCCTGTGTGTTGATGAAACATTGCAGCCGAACTAAGTGCCTTCGGGACAATACTCCGGAACGAAACAGAAATAGGAAGACAGATAAGACTACGACCGTGTCTTACCTGTTTGCGATCGCACCGGCAGACAATCGGTTGTGCTGTTAACTGGGTAGAGAAATCGTCCAGCTGTAGAATCCTTCCGGTGCCAAACTGCCATGCTACCCGATGGAAGCACGAGGGTTGGGATACTGTCAGTTTGCCCAAGCCTAGACAGGGGAAGTCTGGTGGCAGAGGTCGGGTTCGAACCACGGACCTTCCGGTCAATAAATTCGCGCTCTAACGACTGAACCATCTCGCCCTGAGTACAGTTGTACTAAGATGGTCACTCTGGTGAGCGAACGGTACGCCATTTAGTGATGGTGGTGATAGCTCGGGTTCGCGCGACTGTTCATACGTTCACACACTGTTCACACGACTGTTCCAACGAACGTATGGTGTACGAGTAAACAAGCAGGTGGACTAAACCAACTGGCGCGGAAAACAGGGGTCTACGAACCATAGATTACCCCGAACTACTACGTAGGTCTTGAATAGAAGAGGACCGTTCTCCCGGTAGTGTTTATTGTTTTCTGTGTTCGCCCTTCTTGAGGTTCCGTCAACATTCACTTGTAGAATACCATAAACGGGAGATTCAGTTGGGTCTCTCTTGAGATTTGCAAATGATTTGCAAATGAGTGTATTTCTCGAAAACAGTCCCATTTGGGTTCAAGTAGATCATAAGGTTGACGGAAACTAGGGGACTGCGCCTACCTGATGAGCCTCAAGAAGGGCGAAACCGATCGTGGGCTGTCGAAGAGTTTTCAGCAACCTTGTGAGTGGTTTCCTCTATGGAAATATACCGCGATATCTCTAATATTGTGCCAACTGAATCATCAGGCGGCCTGTGTGCAGCACAGTCAGTTGTAGAATACCATAAAGATTCGATTCAGTTGAGTCTCTCGTGAGGACAAAATTGATTTGCAAATAAGTTTATTTCTCCAAAACAGTCCAATCAGGGTTTAAACAGATTGAGTCTCTCGTGAGGACAAAATTGATTTGCAAATAAGTTTATTTCTCCAAAACAGTCCAATCAGGGTTTAATTAGAACAGAGTGAGAAAGTAGATCTTTTAGGTGGTTCACAAATGGTGGACATTTTTGTTGACTGAACGATTCGGACTTAAGCATCATGAACTAAGACTGAAGTTGGGCGTTTGAATTGCGTGTTAGACAGAATATACTACTAACTTCTATCAATAGACACGCGGGAAGGCGAACAAAGAGGACATTTCATTTGAAGATAAGGGACTAATTTTCCTAGGAACAAAAGAATCACCGTCTTCATAAAAGTCTCCCTAAGTGTGAAGTGAGTGGACCCTCTGAAATGAGCTGAGCTTTTTATCGAAGCATTTGCGAACCTCAACAGAGGATTGATGTGAATAACTTTAAGGAATCGAGTTCTCAATTAAACAGATGGGACAAATCTTCATCTTGTGAACGTTTCAGGTTTCATGCATTTAGACCGATCGATTTTCCCCAATTATTAACTGCAAGTGCTCCAGGTGTGAAAGTTTTCAGCAGCAACTTATAAGCAACCTACGTTGAACCAGAAGTGCCTCTCACTTTCCTTCCCTCTTCTCATAAGCCAAGTTTTTTTCATTGCTACTAATGCTTACTACTCACATATAAACCGGCTACTAACGTAGTATCAAGCTACGCCATCCCACGCTCTGTGTTTACCTACCCAGAGGCTATGATATTTTTTATATTAAGAAATGCTGTTATGTTACTTTTCTGAGTCAGTTTACGGAGTTGTCGGTTTTACAGGTCATCGTCCGACAGCGAGCGGACACGACCGGAGGTCGAATCTGCTGTCGGAGCAACTCATGCAATCAGGATGTCGGCGGCCACCATGGCTTGCTCCGTTTGCTTACTCATATTGTACTTTTTGGCCTACAGTCAGTTCGCTTAATCTGCGCGCGAATTCCCCGCTCAGTTCAAATCATTACGTAAAACGTAGACGTGTCCACCTAACCGCAGCTGCCCTGTCCACTACCCCGCACTTTTGCATACTGTCCTTGCACTTGCTCCTCAGTACCAATAAACCGATTATTACACTTGAACCTGTTAATTCCCCCACTACACCTGCCACTTCGGCTGCACGTAGGCACTTTGTTTTCATCCACCAAATCTTGGGTTGAGACCATTCCCGTATGGTCATTAACCCAGCCATTCAACACGAGAGTTTGCGGCGCATTAGGGACGCGTGAACTCAGAGGTACTGCTGTTTGCCGTCACTCTTGTCGGATGCGTATGCCGTCCCGGATCCTACAGTACTTCTGAATATTCATCGAGCAAAATACGGAGTGGTAGCTTGCATGCATCTGGGGAGCGAGATGGTCCAAGTGGACAGAGTGCGAACTTACTGACCGGAAGGCCCGTGGTTCGAACCCGACCTCTGCCATTCGACTTCCTTGTCTAGGCTTGGGAAACCTGGCAGTATCCCAGCCCTCGTGCTTCTGTCGAATAACATGGCAGCTAGGCACCAGAATAGTGCTACAGCTGAACGACCCATCTGAACTGATGAGTTTTCGTTGTCACTAGCAATAAATAAACTCGGTCTACTCCTGCGGATCAGTAATCGATCGTATAAGTCTACTAAGTTTATCAAAAACCCATAAGCATTTCGAATTTGTTCAGTTTTACATCACTCTCGTTTTGAACAGTCGTCCTTATGTCCTGGCGCAGTTGATGAGTTCTAACAACAGCGAAACTCTAGTCCAGTGCTTCCCCCCCCCTCTTTGGTGTGGATTCACAGGACAGGAGGACGACTGTTCAAAACGAGAGTGGTGTGAAACTGAACCATACGCCTCCCGCAAACCCCCCACATGAATTTCGAATTTATCAGCCGTCTCCGTACTTTTGAAAGGGGTATTGCCAGAACACAGTGACTGATTTTCTTCAAAGGTGTTGCTGTCCACAAAAGCTACTTCAAGTTCAGATTGGACTCGATTGGCTAAGTGGCTGTTTTCCCCACATCAGGTGAATTTCGCTGTTATCAGTCAGTTTCTCCAGCATTCTACATTCCGTCGCATCTGTAATGTTTTTTCGGACGTTGTCGTCTTTCTCATCCGCATCACAACCATAGCTACAATCAAAATCAGCTGTGAAAACCGCGTACTTGTGTTGCGGTGTTCCTAGATGTCACATTTTCGTTCGCCGATCTTTTGGGGAGGTGGGAGAGAAACTTACGTAGTTGAGGCAGCGGCTGATATAATACGGAGTCGTCAGTGAACTTTGGGGGAGCTATGCTTTGAGGGCGATAGCTTGGATGCATGAGCTCCCTCGAGGGCACAACTGGGCTATGTCTGAAAATGTGACCCCATCGAGGGAAACCGCATTGATCAGCGCTACCGGACTTGCTGGTAATGGCTTTCATACTTCGCTGCCAAGTCATTGTTTGACCTCCTTTAGCTCGTTTCCACCCTTCGCGTGGTTGTGCTAGAAGGACTCTTTGAGGATGTCGGTCGACTGGCATACGGGGCATGTGACCGTGCCAACGCAGCCTATGGAGTATGATCAGTTCATCGATCGTGGGCCAGTTATCTCTTCCAAAAACCATTCAACGTACTTCGGCATTACCGATCCGATGTTCCAACCGGATTCGGGTAATGCTTCGAAGGCACTGATGCTCAAACACTGAAAGCTTCTTAACCTCCTCAGGTGGCAGTAGCCAGGTTTCTAAGCCTTATAATAATATGGAGCGCACATAGCATTGTAAACTCTATCCTTGACTGATAAGCTGATGTCACGCTTACGCCACAGATGACGCAGGTTCACGAAAGCTGATCTGGTCTTCCCAATCCAGATGGAACTACCATTTTTGACGCGAATGTTAGGACTGATACAACTGCCCAGGTATACGAATTTGTCAAGTACCTCGGTTGGCTCATTCGCAAGCGTGAGGTCAGGGTTCGAGCTCACTCAATAGTTTACAGCACTTCGAACTTTGTAGGTAAGAAGCGCGTGCCAAATCGTGATTATTTATTATTCGCATTACATTGGTACCGGATCCTAGAAGAGCTATGTCGTCTGAGTAGGCGATAGCTGTGAGCGTTAGAGTGCTCCATATTCGTACCAATGACGAAGTTAAAAAGGGAAGATCTCTTGTCTGACACAACATGAACCCAGGCGATGACTTCACAAAGACCTTCACAAGTCTGCGGGAGTTGACTTACGGTGCCTTATAGAGGGTCAAGTATTTTTCGTGGGCACTTTTGCTCCATAGACACGGTCATAGTCCCTGACAGTCTTTCCACGTACAATGGGATTCACATCGCATATCTGCAAGAGGGAGCTATCAATTCAGAGGCAATGTGCTTTGTAACTATCGTGATTTTACTGCCTAGGTGCTTGCACCCTGCACGTACTGGTGAGCCCATTGGATGAAACACAGAAATGCGGGAGCGATAGTTAGGTGTTTCGAGTGAACCGTATACTCTGATTGCGGACATTCTAGCTGTGACGTACTTCATGATACTTTTGAGTTCTGAATGTGATCAGAAGGTTGATTTTTGGAGACCCACGACAGAACATACAGTGTCATCACATACCAAAAATCTTGGTTTTGTTACCATGAGATAATGGAAAGGTGCTTTGATGAACTTCGGCTTGATATGTTGCTATATCGACGGGGCTGAGGGATCAGTTGAAATGTATAGTTTTCTCTCTGGATTGCAAGTTGGAAATAAAATATAATTCTAGTCAGCATGCGGTAAATACAGATGTATGAACTCGGTAATTTCGTCCTTATTGTAATATTGAGTTACTAAAGAGTAGAAGTGCATTAAAGAATCAACTGCGGGTCTCGAGCCAGTTTTAAACCTGTAGACTTTACAAAATCGCAGCGTTCTAGCTCCCTTCTGGAATGGTAGCCTCGAAGCCGCATACAGGTTATTTATTCAGATAATACCTTACTTGTTCAAAGTGCTGTGACAATGTTTTGAAACATGCCGAAGGCAAATTTGTTTTCTGGGAAGAGATCGGAACCAAAACATGGTCTCAATCTAGAAGTGAATGCCGAGCTAGAAAGCCCTTCTTTGATGGTAACTTACGAGGTTGTGGACAAAGGTCATCTGTGGGGTCAAATTCGTCGACAGTCAAAGAAGAGTATCCCTTCTTTGGATCGATGAGAAACACACGATTTGGATTCCGCGTAAGCGCTTTTACACCATCTTGATCTGCCCCTTGTAGACCAATACTAAAGACCATGTCAACTTGCTGGTCCAACTTGTGTCCCAACGCTTTCAGTTGAGCCACTGATCCGCTCGAGTGTTGAGCACCTCTCAAATGTGCTTGAAAAAGTGGTCCGAATAGCTGTGCCAAAGCTTTCATTTGTCCACTTGTTGATAAATTGGGTTGTTGACTGACATGGTTAACTTTCCCAGAAGTCATGAGGACTGCGACGCGAAGGATTCCGGCGTCTGGATCTTTTTCTGTACGTGGAGGAAACGCGCCTTCCAAAGTCTCAGTAATTGCTGTTTCCATTCTGACATTCGCTCGTGACCCACCCAAATGCGGTAGTTTTCGAATGGCCAAGAGGAGATCGGGTAATGTGGTTGTGATCTCGGGTTTGACAGCCAAATGTAATCGATCTGAGTAGAGGACCACTGATATCATCACATTGTTTGGCCCAATAGGTAGCTAGGGTAAAGGCAGAGGGTTATTGGTGTTTGTGAGTAGGATTTTTGTCAATAAAACCACAGTTGGACCGTATCCGTATCACTCTGTTTCACTTACCTTTCGGACGATATCGTTTAGGTAGTCCTTCAGATAGAATTCGTAGGAGAATGCGTCTATAGCATCGGAACTTTCCACGACAAAAACAATGTCGGCTCGTAGACGGCTGAAACATGCTATGGGAGGATGAGAAAACATTACTTGCGCGTATAAATTTGGTAAAAGAATGAACGCCTCTAGTGCTGGTAGTGAGCAAGCTTCGAATATTGATCCCCGAATATTTGAGCTCAAAGCTTTTCAGAGTGAGCATGCATTCAAGCAAATTTACCCCATCTGTTCCTGGCAAAACTTCGTGAAACAGTAAGCTGAAGTTAAAAGAAATCTGAAGTCTTTCTAGCCCCAAAAAGGGCAAGACTCGGCAATAACTTATGAGGTATATGGAGAAAACAAGTTGCTAGGGCTGTCCAATGCGGGGAATTCTGATATAGCCACCAGTTTTTCCGGGTATTCTGTGTACCGAACGAACGTTAATCACTACAAACTACAACATCAATTTTTACTTTACAACCAGAAAAATTTCCAAAAATCATGCTTAGTTGAAAAGCGTTATCAAGGCCTAATCATAATGAGTAATAAACTAGGCATGCAATCTCTTTTTTCAAATTTCTAATGAATATTACAAAATGTACGATTTAAACTTCATCCACACATCTATGAGACTCACTTTCAGTCCACTCACAATAATAAGCAGCCTTATCAATGTGCATTATACTACCTCTGACTAGTTCTGGCGTTCACGCACACGGTTAGGTTAGTCCAACAGCTGATAGATCCCGGCGATCTATCAAGCAGTACGAGCTGGGGAATAATCGTTATGTAATGTCACCCCTTCCACTCCAGGAAAAAGCGGAAAGAGATGTCTTTTGGATTCCCCGATATAGGAATCAACTACGATTTTCCCAGTTAATGCTACCAGAGTTCTGCGTATTCACCCATTGAACTTAATTTTCATCTCTGCGTCCAGCGTCTGTACGTGAAAGCGCATTCGTTTCCAAGCAAGACCCCTGTGTTATTCTTACTTTGCATGGGCGTTGAGTGGCCCATCCACTATTGAACTGAAGATCCGCTTTGGGTGAGAGCCATCATTGAATAACCTTGTTTTTCGGTAGGGACAGACCCACAAATCAAAAGCTATCCTGTTCTGTGCTTCTAGTTATTTCAGTCCCTTCCACCCACAAAATCAAAGTCATCTAAACAGTTCAGAGTGCCTCTTCCTAGTCAGTGAAAATTCCACCTGTTGGTGCTTCCAAAAGATTTTATTTGTTTTCTATATTCTCGAGCACGCAGCTTCAAATTCTTTCTCGCTTCTGTTTGTTTTTTATCTAGAAAGATTCAAGAAACTGTGTCAGTCTTGAAATGGGCATCTGATGCAGCTGTGAAACATCTTTTTTTTATCAACTACTCATGAATAGTGCACGGCGGCCCTATAAGTTTTCACAGCATTTTAACGCAACCCAGTATGAAAAGCTACCGGCAGCCTATCTTTGAGGTCATAATCCCAACGGACTGGCTGCAAAATGGGTATGAATGGATGCAGGCCACTGGGCGGCCTGCGGTTATCCCCCGCTGTATCAAATAACTATCGTGTCTCACAATAGTTTAGTGCCTACGTGAGCAAACGATCCATCTCGTTCAACTGTTACGCTGTTGTTACACGTCAGCATGTCGCTGCTGCTGATGTAGCTATGCTTCTCTGCTTTCCATGAAGAAACTGCCGTGCAATATCATGAACACCGCATCTGCTGAAGCACGCGGGGGGTGGGTCGCAGCACATCCAGTTGAATAATATATTTGTTAGTTCCTTGTGTCAATGGTTACGTTCTCCGTTTGTTCCGACTACTTATGAGTAGTGTTATTTACGTCCCGTCACCACGGTATTGTTTTACTTCCCTGTCGCTCTTCTCCTCTTCGTTGTCACAGCTCACTTAATCTCCGGCTGATGGTACTGAGAGCCGACCACTTGTCCGCCTTCGGATACAGTTTAATGCGTACTTTGCCATATCTGGAGTATCCAGCCGCTGATCCGAGGATAGAACCCAGAGCCCTAGGGATGACAATTGGGCACGCTGGCCATTACATCCACTCGGCTCCCACGACAACTATATTTTAACGACACCTTCATATTGCGTCCTATTTGATTCTTTATTTGAAAGAGCGATAGAAGCTCTTTAAGTTAATTTGTTATACGCGCCGCTCTTTCATGCTACCAGTGAAAGACTGCAGATATTTCTGTTACGCACGTTCGGTACCTGTTATTCCAAGTAGTTTCCGTTCCGTTTGATTCAAAAACACGCCTCCAAACATACTGACCTCCTTCTGCACCTTTATCCCTCTATACTGCCTATTTACACCGTCCGACCACTCGTACCCTGCTGCCTCACTGTCCCTTTTCTGCTCCCACCGATTGCGCTCTTGTTGATTGTACGTTCTACCTAATTCGTGATGTTCATCAAACCACTTTTTCATAGAACCAGTTGTCAATATAGCATCCACCACCCTACCCGTCTGTTCCTTCAGCCCAGTACCTACTGAATACAAACTGCGTTTGGTCTGACGATTCAAATCGCCCTGTTTCTTACAAAATCACGAACGAGAGATTCATCTGGAATTAAGACGAGTTGCCTGTTAACACTAACCTAGTTGACAAGTTCGTACTGCTTTGCATCTGCGTACAAATTAGCTCTGTAGTGGAACATAATGCTGTCGGAGGCTCGGGACTGTGTCTACTGGAGGTCTGAAAACAGTCGTGAGCTTCTGAAAAGTTTTCAGCAACCTCATGAGTAGTGTGTTTCGTCAAGAAGGCAAACTGACAGTACCTCTTTAGCATGCGACACCGTCTACTTCTACGCGTCACTCCAATTGTGCATTACTATTTTGTTGTCCCTCATCACTGTTTGCCCTAAACTCGGTAAACAGGCTTTGAGACAGATCCATGGTTTTCTTGAAAATATAAACGTACGTACCCATCTTTTCGGCAGTCCACATCTCACTGCAATGCCTCTATTGCTTATTCTGGTATTCAAATATCCTCAATCCAGTAAAGACTGACATGTCATCATCCGGCTGACTCAAGCGAAGTGTTGTTTTTCTCCCGTCTAGGTATCAGACGACGCGCTGGGTACTGCTCACTATCGAGAAGTTTACAGCCCTGAATTCGAAGCTCGATGGATGAGTGCCAAAGGCATCGCAGTCGTGATCGACTGGACTGGTGAAATGGTCTTAAGAGAGTTGGGTTCACTTGGGGATCTTTGAATCCAAAATCAAAAGTCATCGTGAATTTAGTAGAAACCTCCTTAAGTGATACATTTTGTGAATAGTTCAGGTTGATTGACAGTGGATAAAATCAGGTAGACAGGTGACCCTGATATCAGTTTCCACTCGACATGAATGTGACCTTGTGTACATGCAGTTTTAGGGGAGAACAGTATGGTCCGATTCAGTGCACGCACATTGTAAGGATGGGCAAACTAACCAAACAGGAAAACGAATTACACAAGCACAGTTCAAACGGTAACAAGTGTTTTCACACAAAAACGCCGTGGAACCTCTCACTTTGTCTGAGGAACCTGGCCCTCAGATTGTGAACTCCTACAATGACAGCAAAACTGTGAAGTACCGATGCGGACAGCACATCCATTGTTAACTTCCGGAAAGCGGGACAAAGCCTTTCGTTTCTATGGGGACATTTCAGGTGGATGGATAAGTGACCTTTACGGCAAGCGGTTTCCTGGTTGCTGTCAACCTAGTTTCATAAGGACGAAATTTGAGCCCTTTTGATGTGTAAGAATCGTAGTCATTGGTACGTGAATGCAATTCCAGTTTGATGTGACAAAGAGATGCAGACCTAGTCAAACACACAGACCGACTGAACAACTTCTAGACTGAATATTAACAGACGAACTACTGTAGCATGATCACTTACCCTCTTGAGCTTTGTTGTGACGTGTTTCGCCGGACCAAAGCAGAGTCAGGAGCACACAAATAAAAGTTGCCAAAAGATGTTGGTGAAGGAGCAGTCTGACTGAACGATGCATACAGATATAAACCACAGAACCGACTGAACTGGTTGCTCGTCTTCTATGACGATCGGCTCGTTACTTGCAACAATATGAATTGGCTGAGGACTTTCGACAAGTTCTGGGAAAATCGATTCCCACATAACGCGATCGAATCTGGTGGCTAGAATTTATGATCGTTGAGTGTTCGAAAATCGATAAGTTTTCAGCACGCTCCTCTTACAGTTTTTTGTTCCCGTAAAATTCTTGTCAACTCAAGTGATCTGTTTCTTTTTGGTCCTGTCTGAAGTTTGGAGTTCCGGGTTCGCGCCGCTCTGAAATCTCACATTGGTGAGGTCTCTATCTTTTCGTGACCTCCGTTCTTCCGTTCCCCAGAAGTATATATCCACTATTCTGAGGGAATTTTTCTTCAAGCAATACGGTTTGAATTTTTGAGAGCATAGTAACCATCTCAAGCTAACCATAGAACAAGCAGTGCTTGTCAAGATCCCTTGATGACACTGTTATTGCCCTGGTTCACTGACCACACTGTTTACTCATTTTGAATCTCTAGGCTTCGAAGACTCAAAAGTCACAGTTTCATGCCTTGGGTACTCCGAAATGTGTTGTTCTTCGAGTAAGAAAACGGTAAATTATTGCTGGATTAGCCAGTGTCATCAGGACACGCATACTCAAAACGGACACTCAAGCGAACCACTCTTTACTCGCCGTTTCAGTTACCGTTACCTCCGCATTCTGGTGTAGTTAGCACCCATTCTAACATTGTTAACCTGTGATTATTCTTTTCCAGAAAGAGTGGATGGGGTAAAACAGGTCTATTTGGATAGGTTGATCGANTTAACCTGTGATTATTCTTTTCCAGAAAGAGTGTATGGGATAAAACAGTTCTATTTGGATAGGTTGATCGATTTCTTGCTTTTCGGCACAAAAGACCATGGTAGTTTGCACATTTGGTTTACCTATGTTGAATTGTATGGCTGCAAAGATATAGGCTACTCAGAGTGCTTCTTGTCAAACATGAGAGAGGTTTGTGATTTTATCTTAAAAGATCGAGACAATATTTTTGACATTACCCACGAAGCTACGTGTAACGTATCTCTGAGCGCAGTAGGTACACAAGCGATTTTAAGATATGTTTACCATCTATTGATGGATTTCAACTTTAATGGTGTCCAAGATTAGGCATATCCTATTCAATCTGCGACAAATGGAACGATCAGGCTTGTTGAATATAGCAACCGCTGTAAAGGAATGTGAAACGTGACTGAGTTTTCAGAACTGTTTAGATTCTGTGAGATTTCTATAGCAAAAGTCATGTGATATTCCTGCTAAGACTGTTTGATTCTTCCTCGTTTACTGTCTTGGCAAGCTGGATAGCATCTGTGGTAAGTTTGTCCATTTTACCTGCCCTCGTGTGGGTTTCACTCTCCTCCCGAAAAATTTTGCATTATACATTTACCAGTTCTAAACTCAAAGTATCTGCTTCTGGGACACCAGTTTCAGTTTCATATACTCTTCACTTTGATTTCGAAAAAATGATCCAACTTTCTTTGAAACATTTTGATGATGATCAGACCATGCACCAAGATTGCAGTTCTTGTAACTTCGTTTACTTACTTGTTAGCTTCTAACAGCCGGTCCGCGGAATTTAGTCAGTGGCGGGTTAGTGATCAACGATAAATAGATTTGATTGGGTGAACAATGCTTGGATTTTGCATTGGATAGAAAGAAGAATAGCTTCAAGTTGTCCTGCTCGGAGGGAAAATTTGTTTCAACAACCTACATCAGTTCCCATGGTGTCTCAATTGCTTTTTCCTTAGCCCAAGATGTATGGCCTAGCCAACACAGTGCTGATCAGCTTTATACCGATTGATGAATCACGGCTCATAAAAACAGAATTAGTTTAGAACAGTCGTTCATGGTAATCAGGGTGAGAAGCTTGTGAAAGACAGAACACTATCGCAAAGTAGGACGGGAGAGGAAGGTTGGGTTGGGTTTATGGCTATGTATAAACCCTATCCAGGCGCTTACCTCACTTATCGCGCTGTCTAGTTGTCAGAATACTACATCTTCAATGTATGTGACTGTGCGCTCCGCGGTCGCTGCTTGCTACCCAGCACGAAAATTATATGAAGGCGACCCGAAAACCTGGGGAAGGTCAGACTCTCTCTATCTGAATGCTTTTCTAACATCGTGATTAGGTGGGAGGTGGGTCCACTTCTATACGGAGCACATTATTCATAAGGTTGCTGAAAACATTTCGACGGCCACAACTGGTTCCTCCTTTTTTGGAGCTCATGAGGTCACGTAGTTCCCGAGGTTCCGTCGGCGTTACTTTCTCTCTGGACCCAAACTTGAAGTAGTTTGCCAACTACACTCCTTTGCAAGCTGAAGTGTTTTCTCGTTAAACGGAAGACGCGAAGGAATCTCAATTAAATCTCCCCTCCATCATACCGCTCCAGTTTGTTCATAGTGTTTCTGGATGAATTACAAGGTAAATTTCACATTCCCGCACTTAGAAATCCACAACATTTTCAGGGTAGCCTTCTTCAAATGAATTAGATATTACGCACTATGCGTCCTGAGTTTCCGAACTTAAACAGAACAAAAGAGGAGAGCAAAGCACCGATGACAAAATTAATAGAGAGACGGCTGACCAACCAAGATAGATAGATAGATAGATAGATAGATAGATAGATAGATAGATAGATAGATAGATAGATAGATAGATAGATAGATAGATAGATAGATAGATAGATAGATAGATAGATAGATAGATAGATAGATAGATAGATAGATAGATAGATAGATAGATAGATAGATAGATAGATAGATAGATAGATAGATAGATAGATAGATAGATAGATAGATAGATAGATAGATAGATAGATAGATAGATAGATAGATAGATAGATAGATAGATAGATAGATAGATAGATAGATAGATAGATAGATAGATAGATAGATAGATAGATAGATAGATAGATAGATAGATAGATAGATAGATAGATAGATAGATAGATAGATAGATAGATAGATAGATAGATAGATAGATAGATAGATAGATAGATAGATAGATAGATAGATAGATAGATAGATTAGATAGATAGATAGACAGATAGATAGACAGGAATTTGACTACTAGTTTCCATAAATATGTTGACGTCTGTCCATCTGTAGAATTAGGACAATTCGGGCAAGTAATAAAACACATAAATTGGAAAATAAATAGGTAAAATGTTAATGCACAACTCACTGCTGTGTTATTGTCTATTGAAATATCTTTAATCTGCATCGAGTTATTGAAAAAGGTCGTGAGAGAAGTCCCACATCGCTCTTCGTCTTGATCGGCCTTCATCAAGTAGCATGTACATCGAGTTATTGCTGACACTTGAGGAATTATACGCAACTGCCATCAGAATGAGCTTGGGTGTCTAACGAAGAGCTGCGACCTACCAGTCGATCAGCTGTTGCTTCGATCACCTGATAACTTCAGGTCACAACGATAGATAAAAAGAATAGATAGATAGATAGATAGATAGATAGATAGATAGATAGATAGATAGATAGATGGATAGATAGATAGATAGATAGATAGATAGATAGATAGATAGATAGATAGATAGATAGATAGATAGATAGATAGATAGATAGATAGATAGATAGATAGATAGATAGATAGATAGATAGATAGATAGATAGATAGATAGATAGATAGATAGATAGATAGATAGATAGATAGATAGATAGATAGATAGATAGATAGATAGATAGATAGATAGATAGATAGATAGATAGATAGATAGATAGATAGATAGATAGATAGATAGATAGATAGATAGATAGATAGATAGATAGATAGATAGATAGATAGATAGATAGATAGATAGATAGATAGATAGATAGATAGATAGATAGATAGATAGATAGATAGATAGATAGATAGATAGATAGATAGATAGATAGATAGATAGATAGATAGATAGATAGATAGATAGATAGATAGATAGATAGATAGATAGATAGATAGATAGATAGATAGATAGATAGATAGATAGATAGATAGATAGATAGATAGATAGATAGATAGATAGATAGATAGATAGATAGATAGATAGATAGATAGATAGATAGATAGATAGATAGATAGATAGATAGATAGATAGATAGATAGATAGATAGATAGATAGATAGATAGATAGATAGATAGATAGATAGATAGATAGATAGATAGATAGATAGATAGATAGATAGATAGATAGATAGATAGATAGATAGATAGATAGATAGATAGATAGATAGATAGATAGATAGATAGATAGATAGATAGATAGATAGATAGATAGATAGATAGATAGATAGATAGATAGATAGATAGATAGATAGATAGATAGATAGATAGATAGATAGATAGATAGATAGATAGATAGATAGATAGATAGATAGATAGATAGATAGATAGATATATATACGTATATATGGTGCCACTACATCAAGCAGCTAGCTTATTCAGGCAGTTTGACTCCTGGAGAAAAGTTTCCCTAGTTCATCTTGATAGGTCGCTGTCTTATCGACTCGAGAAAAGACAACCTCCGCTTCAATGTACCTTTACAGATTCCCAAAGTCTTCGTTCACCCGGTCGCAGATATGCGAAGGAGAAGCGTGGATGTTATGAGTGCTGAACCAATAAAATGACACTAGATGTAGACAATTAAAGCCAGTTTGCTGCCGCGTTTATTTGGCTGCCCATTCAACACATTTTACTCGCCAATGATTGTAAGTACTTTCATGTAGCAGTCTAACCGATGTCGCATTGCTCTTCTGATCCACTGTCCCTTGAAATTGCTAGGAAGCTCGGTATGTGGACAATACGCTGACCGGTGGATGGGTTAAGCTCACGCAAATAGGACACGAATTTACTTTTGAAGGTCAAGTAACCGTTGACTGTGCTTCTCTGTGACTAGTCTGAGTGCGACGCAAAAACCGCTGCCTGTCATGGTCACTTTGATAGCCGGAAATGCAAAATAAATTTTAAAAAATCCAGTTCAGGATCTTTGTTAC